GGCGGACGGAGAAGACGGAGCAGCCGCACGAGTTGCAGGCGCAGCAGGCGCAGCAGGGGCTGCAAGCGCAGCAGGGGCTGCAGGGGCTGCAGGACTGCCCTCGCCACGGGGAGGACCAGCCGCCCTCGAGGCCGAGGCGGACGCCCGCGCCACCTCCGCCGCCGCCGCCCGCGCCGCCCGCCTCGGCCTGCAAATCCGCGCCGCAGCAAAGGGCGCCCGGCTCAGTCGGAGAGAGGGGCGGGGCGGCGGCCGTGCCCCCGCGGTCGGCGACGTCGCGAGCGCGCCAGCCGACTGCGCGGTTCGAGGCGGGGCCGGCGCCGCCGCCGTCCGAGCTGCGCAAGAGGCAGCGCGAGGAGCCGCGAGTCGAGGCGCGGGGGGCGGCGGGGGTGGGCGGGGCGGGTTGGGCGGGCGGGGCTGGCGGGGCGGGCGCAGGGTTGGGCGAGGGGGCGGCCGAGGGGGTGGCTGCGCCGCCCTCTGCTCCCGCGCCCGTGCAGAGCGGCGTCGGAGAGCGCGAGCGGCGGCAGCGCAAGGCGCCGTCGCGCTGGGCCGCCGACCCGCTCTCTGTCCTCAACCTCGGGGGGAGGCTGTCTGAGCTTGAGCAAGCCCGCGCCAGGGGCGCCACAGCGCCTCCGCCGCCCGCCTCCGAGTCCTCGCCGGCGGCCAGTCGCTTCCCCGCCCTGGCCCCGACCCCGCTGGTGCCGCAGCAACTTTGCGCACCGGCCGACGCCGCCGCGGCGACGGCTGAGCTGGCGTCGGCGACGAAGGCGCCGGCGCCAGCGGGTTCGAGCCTCCTCCCTCGCTGCTCGAAGCGCGGCTCGCAGCCTGTGGTGCGGTTCGAGGCGGGGCCGGCGCCGCCGCCGTCCGAGCTGCGCAAGAGGCAGCGCGAGGAGCCGCGAGTCAAGGCGCGGGGGGCGGCGGGGACGGGCGGGGCGGGTTGGGCGGGCGAGGCGGACGAGGCGGACGAGGCGGACGAGGCGGACGAGGCGGACGAGGCGGACGAGGCGGACGAGCGCCAAGGAGGGGGTAAGGTGGGAGAGGGGTTGGGCGAGGGGGCGGCGGCAGCAGGCTCGGCTGCGAGCGCGGGACACTCGGTGGCCAGCTTGGGCCAGGCGCTGCTCGACCGAGAGGCGCAGGAGGAGGCGGCGAAGGAGGCGGCGGCGCAGGCTGCCCACGACGAGGCGGCCAAAGAGGAGGCGCCGCCCTCTGCTCCCGCGCCCGTGCAGAGCGGCGTCGGAGAGCGCGAGCGGCGGCAGCGCAAGGCGCCGTCGCGCTGGGCCGCCGACCCGCTCTCTGTCCTCAACCTCGGGGGGAGGCTGTCTGAGCTTGAGCAAGCCCGCGCCAACGTGTGACACGCCCGTCGATGGTAGCGAGTGAGCCGCGCGCCTGCTCCGCCGCCGCCAGTCACGTGTGCGGGTCTGCGGGGCAGCGGTGAGCAGCGTGGGAACGACGGCCAGGGCGCCAGGAGCGCGGCCGAAGCTTGCCAGAATATGGCCGCAGCGAGAGCCTCCGGCGGGCCCCCGGCGGATTCCTTCGGCGCGGCGCTGCGCACCGGCCTGCGCCTAAGGAGAGCTGAACGCGAGTGAGGCAGCGTAAAGCCCGGACCCTGTTGACCTTATCGTCATCTTTCCATTCTACTCACAAACAAGAGCTACAAAACACAGGTGTATATGCCCGGCGTGCTGGACGAGACTCCACGCCATCAACTCACATGACGCCCTCACACCCCGGCCCCTCCCCAAGAAATCGCGCCTGCGCTTGCCGTCGCCCAGTCTAGGGGCCTCCGCAGCCGCAGGACAAGCCCTCGCGCGCCCTGTGAGCATATGAGACCCTCGGGACTAGCGGGTCGAGGGGCGCGCACAGACCCAGCCTTAGGCCGAGTAGGGCACCGACGAGTGGTGGAGATAGATGCGCGGCTTGCCGTCGGCGCACCGCTTGTAGCCGAAGGTGTACTCGACCGTGGCCACGTCGCCGGTCGTGGCGCAGGTGAAGTCGTACGAGCCCATCGCCGTGGCCGTCTCGCCGTTGAGGTCGATCTGGTGGTTGGTGAAGACCACCTTGCTCCACCCCTTGCCGCCGTTGATGGCGAAGCCGGCGTCCTCGCCCTTGAACTCGTCGTTCTTCATCGCCTCGGCGCCCACAAAGTACGACATCGCCTCGGCGCCCGTCGCGCGGAAGGGGTGCTTGGTCGCCTTGGTCGGCTTGAAGAGCACGTTGTGGTGGCCGTAGCCGTACAGCTCTCCCGCCGCCTCGCCCGCCGCCGCGACAAAGTCGCCCTCCTCGAGGTAGACGGACGAGATGGACGCGATCGCGTTGGCCCACTTGGCCTGGCACTCGAGCACCTCCGCCTCGGTGACGGCCGCCGGCGCAGCCACCGACGCCGGCGTGAGCTCCTTGCCGATCGAGGTGGGAACCTGTCAGCAGCGGGCGTACCGGAATCAATCAAACGGCGACACGGCGACCGCTGCATCGGGAAGCATTGCGCACCACATTGCCGATGAGGTTGGATGGCACCTGGCCGATCCCAAGTGTGTCGCGGCTCGACCTGAGCGCGCTGCCAATCGATGTGTCCGATTTCCAGGCCATCATGTGCGGCGCGCTCGCGCGCGACGCAGCCGAAGTCAGCACGGCCGGGCGCGCATTCAGCGAGGGGGTGAGCAAGGTGAAGGATAACATTTGCTGTGTGCCAGCTGCTGTGTGTCGAAGTCGCCTCTCCAAGCTTCTTCTTCTTTCGAAGATTTCTTTTTCTTACATTCCTAACCAACCTGAGTAGAGTAGAGATCTCCCTCAATCACTCAGACTAGCTTCGGGCAGCAGCCGCACCTCATCGACATCCTCCTCCCTCCTGGCTGCCGACTGGCGCGTCGTCGCTCTCCCGGCAGGAGCCAGCGGCCCCGCCTCTCGGAACAGGCGGAGGTCGTGGCCTCTCTTCATCCTATGCGGAGGGGCCGTGGCCGACGACTCGTCGCAATTGAGCTCACCCCTGCGCGAGGGGGCCGTCCGCGGCCTCGAGGGCGCATCGCATGGAGTGCTCGGTCGCCTTTGGAGCTCCTCGCGCAAAGCCGACACCTCGTCGTGCAGCCTCCGCACCTCTGTGCGGGTGGCGTGGAGGCCAGCGTCGCTAGCTCGCTCCCGCGTGGTGCGCGTCAGCCTGACTCGCTCTGTTGGGCGGAGGGCGTAGGCCTGCGCCGTGGCCAGGCGCTCGCGTCCACCGTAGACCGTGCCATTCCTCCACCCGTCCACGGGCGCCGTGGCTAGGCGCTCTCCACCGTAGCTCCTCCACGGGGCAACTGTGCTGGGCGATTGCGATGCGGCTAGACGTAGATCTGGCCCGAGCGCGCTCTTGCCTGTCCGATCCTTGTCAAGGGGCGGGCCAGTGGCGGGTGGCGAGGAGGTCCAGGCGCCGCTAACGTGGCGGACGCCGGCCGCCGGGCTGCACGGGGTGGTCTGTGAGTCCGCAAGCGACGCTCTCGTCGTCTGGGTCAGCGTAGCGAACGAGCCTCCCCGGCCTGTCTCTTCCGGGAGGGGCTCCGCCTGCGCGGAGTGCACGCTCGGCTGGAGAAAGGAGAACTGGATCGTCCCGGCAGCGGCAGCGGACCGGTCGACAGAAAAGCGCGTCTGGATTCGCTCGGGCTCGACTCCGGCATTGAGCAGCACTCGACGGCAGGAAATGGCGCGACCGTGCGCAAGAGTTGCGTGCGGATGGGCGTCTTCCTGTGGAAACCACAGCCGAAAGAGGCGGGCGTGCTCTGGCCTATCGTCAGACGGCCGAGATTGCGTCGCGAGAACGTGCACGGCGACACTTGGATGCGCTAGAAGCACGTCGGCGACGGACGCGAGCAGAAGCCGATTGTGCGGATTCTCCTCCAGGCTCCACGACTCGGGGGCAAACTCGACCGTCCGCACCGCGAGTCGGTCTCGGAGGCACTCAACTGCCTGCCTCGCCTCCTCCTCCGTCCCGTGCGGGACTTGCACGCCGCAAGCACGGGAGCCTCCGCTGTCAGCCATCTGGCGCAAGAGCCGCTTAGTCGTCCTCATGTCGACCCACCGATCCTCCTCTCCGGCGGGGCCCTCCCCCCTCAGCCTATCTTGATGATGCCACTCCGCGGCACGGCTCTGGTTGTTGGGCTGTGTGTGGCGGCGGAGTTGTCGTGTGACAGAGACCTCGCGGGCGAGCGATGCGTATTCGTCTTGCGTCAGCCTCGCCTCGTGAGGACAGCGCCGAAGCGCCTCGAGCGCTTCGCTGACATCTGCCACGTCCGACAAGGCAGTGAGAGCACGCTCAAGCCGCGAGACAGACACTGTGCGATCGGCATCGGTGCCAATGGCCTCAAAGAGCGCGCACGCGGCACCAGCGGCTTTTGCGGCTATGCCGGTGGCAGGCGCCTCGACCGCATTCACCGCGACTGCCATCTCCTCCAGCTTTTGCGTGAGCGATGTCATCGCATCATGTCTAGAAGAGGCTGCTGCCTCTTGGGCACGCGCTCGGGAAGGCAACATAGTGCTTGTCGTCGCGGCGCACGCTGCTGCGGCTGCAGCAGCTTCTGCCGCCGATCTTGCCGCGTTTGATGCCAAAGCTCGAGAGGCGGTATTGGCTGCAGCAGACGCTCGGAGCTTCACGTCGGCTGCATGCTTCATACAAGCTGCCACGTGATTTTGCACCTCCCTCCCCCGTTGACCATGCGACGGCGGCTTGGTAGTTGGCACCGCGAGGTACTGGACGGCAGCCTCGGGGTCTATCATCGCGACGCGACGCTGTGCGCGTCGATCGCTTCGTGTCCGATGAAACGTGCGAAAAAAGAGAAGAAAAACAAGGGGATGAATGTAGCACCTTTTGCCCGCCGAGTTCCCTTTCTCCGTCGAAGAGCTGTGCGCGTAGTCCCCTCGGGGCACGCTTACGGCGACCAAGTGCGTCAAGCCAGACCAAACGATTCCAAGACTCGACCAAGGGTTCCACTGCCCATGGCCGAGCAGACGAGCCATAGGACCCCGACTAGCACGGAGAAGGTTGCCGAGACGGCTGCCAAAATCGAGGGCAGCCGTGACGAGTTTGAGGCAGCGCGGTGGGTGCATGCGCCGTATGCGCCCGCGACAGCGCCCATGACGAGGGTGGAGGAGGCGCAGAAGGCTCCAAGATAAAGGCACGACGCGGCGACGCCCGGCATCAGCAATGTGGGCAATACAGCCAGGATACCTCCCGGCGCACCCATCCCATGAACAATGCCCACACACACAGCGAGCAGTGACGCCGAAGCGTGCGAACGAGGTCTCGCCCTTTCTGAGGCTTGGTGAGCGGTTGTTGTGTCCGGCGGAAGCGATCTTTCCACGACCTCGCAGCTTGTGATTTCGATAGCTTGATGCCGACTGGCCGTGAGTGGCGCGTCCGAGCCATCCCCATCCGACCCTTTTGCAGCAGACGGCAATCGCGAAACGTGGTCGACCAATTGACGGAGCCTCCATGCTTTCCAGTAGCCCCAAAAGCCAAGCATTAGCATGACCAGCCCGACCACCCAGTCGGCGCCACCCTCCACGAGATCCACCATGTCTTGGATGCTGTACACCTCCTTCAGAAGAAGCACGGCTGACATGATGAGTGTGAGGCCAGTGCTGTGGCCGATTCCCCACCGAATGCCTAGCCACGCCGCAGAGCACCCTTGCATCACCGACAAGGTAACCAGCGCCGACATGTGGTCAGGCCCCGTGAGTGCGTGAATGCAGCCCAAGAGCGCACCCTGCCCAGCAGCTCGCAGAGCCGCCGTCGATGTGGGAACTTCAGGAGGGTCAGTGGCAGTCAGATTGCTGAGCATGGCCGCAACGCGACAGGAGAAGCGGGGCCGAGATGCCAAAAGAACGCTCAAAACTTGTGGCCGGTGAGCGTTGTCTCCATGTTCACGCCCCCCACAGCAAATCGGTTTTTACCCTTAACTAGTGCCGTTTTCGTTGGACCAATTTTCGCTTAACTTGGTCGGTTTGAGCACTATTTCAGCCCAAGGCCCACAGCAAATCGGTGAAAACCTGCTCTGCGAGAGCGAGTTTTGTGGCTTATCCGGCTTCCGTCGGTCGTCCCGTGACTGATCGCGCCGCCGCGTTGCACATTGGACACATGCTCTCGCGCGTGGCGCTGACGGGGACTATTGTGCGCCTCGCCGAGGCGCACAATAGTTCTTAGTCTGACAACGGCCAGTTCTGTCATCCTGGTGCTCATCAAGGAAACGGAAGCGGCGAAAGCCGACGCCTTGGTAGGTTTTGGGCCCTGGGCCAGATTCGGCTTGGAGCTGGCCGCGTCGAGTTTTGGATCTCGACGCGCCCTTAACCTAAACGCGCGTCGAGATTACTGCGATTTTTGGCGATTTTTGATGGCCTATTTTTCGCTTGGCAGTGGTGGGAAATCGCACTATTTAAGGGCAAAAACCGATTTGCTGTGGTGGGCGTCATGTTGAGAGAGACGGCCGAGAACGGCTGTTCAGTGGCAGGCATCTCTTCACACAAAGGCACAACCCCGGACCCAATATACATCACGCACACGACTCACGACTCACATCTCTTCACACACAGGCACAACCCCGGACCCTCTTCATCAACATCACGCGCCAAGAATCGTTGCGAGGCCCTGGGGGGGTGCGGGCATGATTTTAGCTCTTTGGAAGGGGGCAGGGGGGCTTTCGGCTGCTGACGAAATGTAACCGAAGCGCAGCGCGAAATCTGGCGCGTGATCCACACGGGCGCCGCCCGCCCTCGATGCACGGCAGGCGCCAAGACAACGGTAGTCCGCTCGTACCACGAGTGCCTTCACCACCTCCATCCTCCACATTCTCCAGCTGCTCCGAGGCGGGTAGCCCATCCGGGTCGCCTGCAGCTCGCCGCGTGGCTCGCATCTACCCGACGCCGCTGCAGGACATTGTGCACTCTGCATGCCTGACCCCTCAGCCGATTCTGTCTGCGCCGGAGTCTCCCGTCACGCGGCCGCCTCCGCCGTTCCGCCGTGCAGTCTCCGCTGCGGACCATCCGGCTCTGCCCTTGGCACTCGCAGAGCTGTCGAGCGACAGGATGCGGCAGCTGGGGGGCTCGAGCGCAGCCTCCCAGAGCGCAGTGTACTCGGTTGGCGTGTCCACGAGTCCCAGCTTCTCGGTCAAGGCCCCCTCAACTCCCGAATCTACACCGCGGCGTCCTGATCCCGATGCCGAGTCCACACCCAGCTGCCCCGGCGGCAGCGAACGCACCACCCGCGCGCCTCTGTCTGAGCATTTCGCTGAGAAGCTAGAGGCCGCGATGCAAGAGGTTTCGCTTGCCGCGAGCCGAGCAGCCACTGCGTCGCACCAGGCGGCGCAAGCCGCCCTTGCGTGCGAGCGTTTCACCAAAGCAGCAGAGGTGGCGCGGGTGGAAGCTGCTGCGGCAGCCGCAACTGCTGCTGCAGTCGCGCGAGCCGCCATGGCCAACTCCGACGAGCTCCCAGCCTCCCCGCAGCCGTCCATGACCTTCCGGCAGCGCCGAGGCTCGAAGCACCTCGACCTCATTCAGGACGCGATAGCCGATCCGACTAACTCACAGACAAGTGACGCGCCGGCGACTGAAGCGGCTCGCACCTTTCGGAGGCGTCGCTCCTCAAAAGACTTGAGCGGCGAGCTTCCGATTGGAGCTACACGGCGTGGGCCCATGTCCTGGTCCGACGCTGTCGCGGGCGCCGTACCCGACGGAAGCAGTGGCGCCGAGCCGGAGACGTTCCATGAGCTCCACTCGCCCGACAAGATGGACTGGCCCACAAAGCGGTGCTCTGCGACCGAGCTGGGCGAAGAGGCGGACGAGGCGGAGCTCCCGTTCGACCCCGCGCTGGTCTGCTCCTTCTCGTGCCACGGCATCGAGCCCTCGCCGCAGGGAACTGGCCAGCACAAGGTCTGCTGCCTCTCTCCGCCCCGCCTCTCGGCGTCCACTGCTGCCTCCGCTTCCGCTCTCTCGCACCGCCGCCGCGCTCACCACCGCTGCCTCACCACCGCAATTGCCCTCACCGCCACAAGGTAAACCAGGATTGCGCTTGCGTCTGCCATCCGTTTTGCTCCGACGCCGATTGCGCGCTGTTCTGCGTACTCGATGGGCATGGGGAGGATGGCAAGGCGGTGTCCGGGTATGCGATGGATATCCTCGTCGACGAGATTGAGCGGCGGCTGCTCGCGGACGAGGCGATCGCCGATGCCTTTAAGCGCGCATTCGAGGTGTTGAGGTCTCGCGGAAGGGGCATGATCTCCAGTCCTGGACCAAAGGCTCGCCTCCTCCTCTTAGGCGACCAATGAGGCGCTTCGCTTTGCGTCGGGGGTGAATGCGCGGGTCTCGGGGGCATGCGCGCTCGCGGTCCTGCTCCATGGCACGCGCATCTGGTGTGCGGGCGCGGGCGATTGTCGGGCGGTGATCGGCGCCGTCAACGATGCGGGAGATTCCGTCGCCATCCGGTTCGCCCCTCTCGCCCTGTTGCGCACACGCACGCTGCGCGCGCGTGACGCATGACGGCCCCGAATGTCAGGCTTTCCGTCGACCACCGGCCGACGGACCCAATAGAGCGTCAGCGAATCGAGGCGGCCGGCGCGGCAGTGTGGGAGGGGTGCGACGACCCGCAGCACGGCGTGGAGCCGGCGCGGGTCTACCGTGACCTCGGGCAGCGGAGCTCGGGACCGGGCCTCGCAATGTCGCGTTGCCTCGGCGACCTCGACGACGCCGATGCCGGCATCGTGCCGACCCCGGCAGTGCGGTACTACGAGCTATCGCCTCAGGTGCCGCGCGACGGCCAGCGCGATCTCTTCCTCGTGCTGGCGAGCGACGGTGTTTGGGAGCACCTCAGCGACGAGGAGGTTGTGCGGCTCGTCTCCCGCTTCCACGCTTCCGGGCAGCCCGCCAGCGTGGCGTGCACAAACCTGATGGCCAGCGCGGCCATGTGCTGGCGGCGAGAGGAGGGCAACTATCGAGACGACATCACCGCCCTGGTGGCCTACCTGCCATGCATCGGCTCTTGTGGGCGGGGAGAGTGATTGAAGTTGCGAGGGAGGAGTACGAGGAGATAGGAGGCGTGCAGCCGTGCAGCGCGCAGGCGGCGGCACATCGAGCGCGGACGCGCGGCGCAGCATGTAAAAGCTGCACACAAGTAACTGCACGCGAGGTGTCTTTTTGATGTTGTAGTCTCCATGGCACTCACAGACGAAAGTTTTGGACAACGCGAGAGAGCGAGAGAGAGTGTGCGCGCGCGGGATATGTGTGTATGTACACATCCGACCGCCACCACACCAAACATGCCGCACACACGTGAATCAGAAGAGCTTGGTCTTCGTGACGAGCTCCTGCGCGATCATGCCGGCGATGGCAATCATGGCGAGCCGGCCGTTGTTCAGCTCCTTCGTCTGCATCGCCTTGAACTCGGCCGGGTCAGACGGCGCCAGGCCGAGCGGGTCCCAGCGGCGGTTGTTGCTGCCCAGCGTGCCGGGCTCATGGTCGGCCCGGATCGCCCAGCCCTCGACGTTGGGGTCCTCAAACGTAAAGACGCTGAAGACCTCCAGGCTCGCAATCACAAACACGACGGCCGGCCAGAAGGTCTGCAGCGGCGTCTGCTGGAATGCAACGTAGGACGGCACGTCGATGTTGCCGCCGAAGAGTGGGTGGAAGTTCTCACCCACAAGGAAGCCTGTGTGGCGCGGGAGGATGTAACGGCGAGGATTCGGTGAGGGCGCTGGCGCGGGAGGCGGCCTCACCAAGCGAAGCGAGCATCGCGACGCGGCCGTGCTTCAGCTCGACCTCGCGGTAAAACTTGACCTTGCCCAGGGTGGCGCTGCCGTCGGCGCCATTGTTGTCGCCGCAGAATCCTGCCAGGTCGAAGAAGCCGAGCGGGCCAGAGATTCCGGGCAAGGTTTGCACATACGCGTTGGGAGAGAAGTTGGGCGGGTCTGGAACTGGAACGGTGTCTTCGACCACGGAAAAGACGGGAGGCGTGCTGTCGAGCGCTTTGGACGAGGGGTCCTGCAGGACGACGGCCGCGCGAGGAGGCGCGAGAGCGGTGCGCGAGAGCGGTGCCAGCGCCAGCACCATGGTTGCAGCTGAGTGGACGAGGAGTGAGGAGCAGGCGTGCCGGATGAGGCGTGCTGAAGCGTTCCGAGAGCTCTCGTGTGACTTTCGCAGAAAGGTCGCATTCGAGGTATGAAATTGAAACCTGTGCGTCTTGGGCCCGATTGTGTTTTTGCGTGAACTAACCTTGTTACAAGCGTAATGGATCGTTTCCCCCCAACGTGTCGCTTGGGCGAGAGAGGACGCGGTCCTCTGGCCCTTTCTGCGAGAGTTCTTGTCGTTTGGTGAGTTCGCGCTTATTGCCCGGCATTTCTCTTTCGCTGTCCAGCGGCCGCGCTCTAGCGAGTCTGGCGTACCCTCGCCACTCATCAGCACTGGCATGCGAGCGAGCACGTCAGTATTCGCCGCCCTCCTCCTCTCCCTCGCCTCGCCCTCGCGCGCCGACCCGAACGAGCAGCGGCAGCGGCACCTCGCGCTGCGGCGGCAGCGCCGCTCGGGCGCCAGCGACCCGGAGCTCGCCGCGCGGTGCGAGAAGAGCGCTCGGTCGCCTCCGGCCGAGTGTCGGCGGCGGGCGCCGTGCGACCTGCGCGTCTTCGACCCGGGCCGAGCGTTCCACCGGGACGTCATCCTGCAGTCGCGCCCGCGCGAGTGGGCAAAGAACAACGTCGACGCGCCCAACCGCCACTTTCAGAACGGGATCGAGTGGTGGGTGCACCGGGCGCTGCCGCCGCCGGCCGGCGAGCGCAACGCGTCGGCGCTCGTCGGCGCGCGCCG